AACCCTATCTTTTCTGTATAGGGCACTAGTGGCACCGTCGAACTATCCGCACTCTACGGGCAGACACTCCGTCGGTGAAGTTTCGAACCCTTCGCCTCTATTTCATCACCGAGTTGATCCACATCAACTCCAACTTCATCTCCTTTGTAAATGTGCCAACACCACAAAGTGTACGTCACCATGTGTATATGCGTTAGCATTTTCACAATCATTTTCCAAAGGATTAGCCACTCAACTTGCCACACCACTCAATCCTAGCGACGATGTAAAGTTAGATCACTCGAGTGGCACTAGATGACCGATATGCAAACAAGTTTGCCCCTCTTGATAGTACGGCCATCTATCCTAAACCCGGTCATAAACTTCTCTACACACCTATGACCGGTGAAATAAAATGCCCTAGGTTATACCTTTGCCTTGTGCATTCCATTCCATCTCTTCTAATGTCGATGCAATACATGCACCAACACGATCAACAATGATATGATCCACTCCATATCATCACGTGATCATATTGGTTCATCGATCTTGACTTCACTTGCTTTTCACCGTTGCCTTTGTCCATCGGCGCCAAGTCTTGCTTAAGCTTCACCGCCACGCGGTCCATCGCTCCAAAGCCTCCAACTTGCCCTTCACGCTTGCAACTGGTCCATCAAGCCAAGTCATGTCTTGATCTTCTCCACCTTGATCACATGACTCAATGTCATGTCTCATTTGCAATGAGCTCCTTCATCATCACATGTGTGAGCTTTGCAACATCTCCAAGCCATTTTTACCTTCATGGCATATGTTGCTCACACACATGTACCTATGGACTAATCACCTGTGTATCTCACATAAATACAATTAGTCCACCTAGGTTGTCACTCAATTACCAAAACCAGACAAGGACCTTTCACTAGGCCTGATAAAATCCCAATAGAATTCTTTAAAAAAATGTTGGCCTATTGTGAGGGGGATATCATTTCTGTGTTTGAGGATTTTCATAATAATAAAGTGGACATTAGCAGGCTAAATTATGGGATAATAACTCTGCTGCCAAAAGTTAGAGAAGCTAACAGAAGTCAGCAATACAGGCCAATCTGCTTGTTGAATTGCTTGTACAAATTGATCACCAAGGTTCTTACAATCAGGGTAGAACCTTTTGCTGAAAAACTCATTAACAGGGCTCAGTCTGCATTTTTGAAAGGTAGGAACATTTTGTCTGATATCATGTGCTTGCATGAGATAATCCATGAAACTAAGAGAAGAAAGGAAATTGGCATCATTCTTAAATTGGATTTCGCAAAGGCATATGACAAGGTTAACTAAAACTTTTTATTTGAATACATGGAGATGAGGGGTTTTGATAAGAAATGGATAAATTGGATTACTAAAGTGGTAACTGGAGGGACTGTGAGTGTAAAGGTGAATGATAAAATTGGATCATATATCAAGAGCTATATGGGGGTGAGACAGGGAGACCCTCTCTCCCCCATTCTCTTTAATTTTGCTGCTGATTGCTTAACTAAAATGGTTGAAAATGCCTAATACCAAGGACTGTTCTCTGGACTTATTGAACACATCATCCTAAATGGAGTGGCCATCCTACAATATGCAGATGACACTATCATTTTCCTTAAACATGATTTAGAGGGTGCAAGAAACATGAAAATGTTATTATACATGTATGAAGTAATGGTTGGGTTGAAGATCAACTTTAACAAGAGTGAAGTGGTGATGATTAATGATGATAATAATCTGGGAACTATCTATGCTGATATTTTTAACTACCAAATTGTTTTTCCCCATCAAGTATCTGGGGTGCCAGGTCAGCCCAAGTAGTAATTTTTTTGAGTGATCGGACTCCTTGATTGATAAATGTGGAAAGAGATTGGATGTGTGGAAGGTAGTACCATGTCCATTGCAGGAGGACTACCTCATATGTGCTTGTCTAAATAATGCCCCCATTTATCAAATGTTTGTGTACATGACTCCAAAAACTATTTTGAATAAGATGGACAAAATCAGAAGAACCTTCTTTTGGCAATGTGGAGGTACTAAAAGGAAGTATCACCTTGTGAAATGGATAAAGATAGGTAAAAGTAAAAGAAAGGTGGATCGGGATTAAAGACTTAAGGAAAATAAACCCCAGTCTTCTCTCAAATGGTGGTGGAAACTAGAACATGAAGATGGTTTATGGCGGGGACATAGTTGGAGCTAAATATTTTAGAATAAAAATATCTTTTCCGTGACTTATAAATTTTAATGATTCTCCTATCTGGACTGATCTTCTCAAAGTCAAATATCTGCTTGGTAGAGCCATTGGGATTAAGAATGGGCTTAAAACTAGGTTTTGGTCAGATCCCTGGTTATATGATGAACCCATCTCCAAAATTACACCTGTTTTGTTCACTTTGAGTGAGCAGAAAGAAATTTGTGTAGCTGATGTAAAAAGTGGAGGGACTAGCATGACTTTCAGAAGATGGTTACCTCCAGAACTACAAAGTTGCTGGGATATGATTTTAAGTGATGTGCAAAGTTTTGAGTTGCAAGATAGTAATGATGTCATTCTTTGGAAGCTTGAGAAAAGTAGAAAATTCTCTGTGAAATCTTTGTATAATGCTTTAACTAGAAGTGATGCTGGGCTTTCACATAGGAAAATCTGGAAAGGCAAAGCTCCCCAGAAAGTTAAGATTTTTATGTGGCTTATGATCAACAATGCTGTGTTAACCAAGGATAACCTCATTAAAAGAAAATGGTCTGGTAGCCCACTTTGTCCTTTCTGTGAGTAAAATGAATCAGTGGAGCATCTTTTCTTTACTTGCCCTATTACAAAGGTGATTTGGGCTGTCATTGCTAAAGTACTTGGTGCTAATAACATTCCTACATCCTTATCCCAATGCTGGGATTGGTGTGATTATTGGCTTCTTGATGGAAAGAAATTTCACACCTGGGGGGTGTCTGCTATATGTTGGGCCATTTGGAAAGCTCGGAATAGAGCATGCTTCGATGGGAAACTGATCACAGACCCAATAGAAATCCTTTGTCATGCAGGGGTGCTAATGAGTTTTTGGGCGGGTTTATATGATGAAGTGAATCGGGAGATGCTGATCAATGGAGTCAACACCATGCTGCAGCAGGGCAGTGAAGCTTCTTGTGCCAAAGAACTCAACGATGGTCAAAAACGCCTAAAGCTCCGTGATGATGATGAAGATGGCTCCAAATGATGGGGACGAAAAAAGACGTCGAGCGTGAAGATGCTAATGCCTCCGTCTGTTATGTTTTTTAAATGCTGATCGACCATGTGTGGTCTGATGTGTAAACCTGGATAGTTGTCGGTTATGCATTTCTGATGCTTTTGGTTTTGTTTTTCTTCTGCTTCTCTCTTTGGCTCTCTCGGAGGTCTAGTTCATTAGAGAGGTAGGAACGTCTGTGTATGTCTGTTCTCTCTATCTTAAAACTTGCTTGTATTTTCGTTTTTCATGAAATGGAAATGGAGGTGACCTTCAAGCGTGGAAAAAATGAAACCAACACCATAGATTGAATCTCGGTGGTAATAGAGGGGAAGTAGATTTTGACACGGGTCATGGCAAGTGTTTTGAAAGATTCATTGGCACAAGGCGGGGCACATGCCCCCACCCCTACCTTTGCCACCCCAACACTCACAAAAGTTAAGATATTTTGAATTTGTTTGTGGTGCACAATCTGTCATTGTGTGTTATTCTTTTTTAATACAATGCTCCACCTTGCATGCTTTGTGATAATGACCACAAATCATTTTATCACCCATACTTAAAAATATATTGTATAGCATCGAATTTGGAGAGAAGTCAGTCTGTGATCACGAGGGCTGTCATTCCTGTCAATATGTACAAGAGTTGTGTACACGGTAGTAGCCGAGTTGTTTTCTTTCTTTTATTCATGGAATTTCGGAAGGACAATATGATAGTCCATGTTTATCCCAGACATGGGTAATATATATATATATATATCCATTATGCCTCATTGCCTAAGAGCGTAGTTATTTTTTTTAAGATAATATAATAAGTTTCAGCTTTAAACAGTGGTGGACCCAGGCGCTCGACAACCGTATGCACTCGACCAGGCTCCGACGCCGGCTCACAATAGAAGATGCGCAACCTCATTTGCTACCTTAAGTTTCGCCGAGGCTCTATTTGGAGTGATGAGTTTGGTACTAGCTTCAAACATAATTTTTCGAAAATATATCATACAGGAGTTATTAGAAAGTAGTTCACGGTACTAGGTGAGGCAAATGTCTCAAGTTACATAGTCAAGGTACCACATAATGCACAAACGCATCACTGACAGACACCTGAAGAATTAGTACAACTAAAAAGAAAACAAGAACAGAGACTCTCCAATTTGCAAAGTAGTCATCTTTGCGCCACGTGTCCCTTTCAGATAATTAACAGAAGCTCTAGCAGCTTGCCCTAAAAAAGTAGAAATGATATCTCAAGTTATATTTTTGTTAGAGTTAAATGCATGGGTGATCCATCAACTTGCGCTCTAGTTTTATTTAGATCTATCAATTCTGAAAGTGGGTTTTTGGGTCCATAATCTTTATCAATGACGCATTCCTAGCACATATCCTATTTGTTTCAATTTTTTAACCCACGTGGCATCTCCGGGTCCAGGTGGCACACGCATGCAGGTGCATGCACATGCACGTCGGCGTCTTGGCGAACAGCCAGCAGCAGCAGCCGGCGCAGCGGCAGCCCAGTCCGGCAGCCCACGCTGGCACGTCGGCGTCTTGGCGAACGGCCAGCACAGCAGCAGCCGGCATGCGCGCCCACGCGGCACGAACGGCGAGACGCGCACGCCCGCGGAGCGCAGGTCCACGGCGGCGGCGCTTGCGTGATCGGCGTGGCCCTGCGGGAAGTAGTAGATGGCGGCGCCGACGGGCGGCACGGCGCACAGGGAGCCCGCGCACGCCTGCCACAGCTGCGGGTGCACGCCGCGCCCCTCGGGCTTGGCACGGCCAGCGGCGGCCTCCGGCGATGGGGCCGGCGGGGGCATCTGCGCCTCGTCCCGAGCCGCATGGGCGTGCAGACTGCAGCAACAAACATGACTGGGTCATCGGCAGGGCGCAGGGCTTCTACGTCGCCAGCTCGCAGGACGGCACCAGCAAGACCATCGTGCTCACCGCCATGCTCGAGGGCCCCGAGGCACCGCATGGCGGCGACACGCTCAGCTTCTTCGGGGTCCACCGCATGGCCGCGCCGGAGTCCCACATCGCCATCATCGGAGGCACCGGCAAGTACGAGCACGCCAAGGGCTTCGCCGCCATCCAGACGCTGCACCCTGGCGACGAGCACACCATCGACGGCAGCGAGTGCTGGTGCCGCAGCGACGGGCAACGCAGGAGCCGCTGGCGCGGGCGTGGCGCGACCACCTGCTGACGTTCTTCATGCACGACATCCTCGGCGGCTCGCAGCCGTCGGGGCGCATCGTGACCGGCGTGGTGGCGAGCGCGGCGGCCAACAGGCAGCTCCCGTTCGCGCCCCAACACCAACATCTTCCCGATCCAGGGCGCGATGCCGCTGCCGCAGGGCGCCAGCAACCTCATCAACAGCAACAACGTGCCCTACGTCGCGGGCCTCGGCGGCACGTCCTCCGCCGTCGTCCAGAACAACGGCAACCCCGTCAACGGCGGCAACAAGAACATCCCCTTCGTCAACGCCGCTTATGGTCTCGGACTTCCAGAAGCGCATCATGGATGAGAATTGAGGAGCACAAACTACGAGTCTCAGCATACTGTATCATACTGACAGAGCTCTTTTTGGTGCCTTGAAGCCCTTGACAGAGCTCAGATGAAGGACTAATTGCCAAAAGTTTCTTCCTCCAGGGCGAGTTATTTTTTGTGACAGGACATCTGTTCTTTGGTTACGGTTTCTTCGATACATAAAGTTCTCCATAGAATTACATGGTAGCCTTTCAGCGAACAGTGAGAGGTCTACATGTCCCTCTTCCTAATGTTGTTCTTGAAACCCATCCAGCTCCATTTTACGTAGGATGATGTCATATTCTCATGCCATTTCTTTTAGGAGTAGCCATCTCAGAATAGCAGAAAACATCCTTGATTTACTCGTACAATCTCACAATATGCTGATGCGATCATAGCACCTATTAGTACATTACATACATGGCCGAAAGCTGGCACAGTACTTGCAATCACAAACATTGCACGAAACTGCTGGAAGGACAAGAACTGGTAATTGTCGATCTAATGGTAATGGGCGGCTTATTAAATGAGGTGAACGTTGAACTGGAGTAGAGTCTCGACGCCGTCGGTGGTGTGCTCGTCGCCAGGGTGCAGCGTCTGGATGGCGGAGAAGCCCTTGGCGTGCTCGTACTTGCCGGTGCCTCCGATGATGGCGATGTGGGACTCCGGCGCGGCCATGCGGTGGACCCCGAAGAAGCTGAGCGTGTCGCCGCCATGCGGTGCCTCGGGGCCCTCGAACATGGCGGTGAGCACGATGGTCTTGCTGGTGCCGTCCTGCGAGCTGGCGACGTAGAAGCCCTGCGCCCTGCCGATGACCCAGTCATGTCTGTTGCTGCAGCCTGCGCGCCCACGCGGCTCGGGACGACGACGCTCACGTTCGCGGCGCAGATGCCCCCGCCGGCCCCATAGCCGGAGGCCGCCGCTGGCCGTGCCAAGCCCGAGGGGCGCGGCGCTGTGTCAGGCGTGCGCGGGCTCCCTGTGCGCCGTGCCGCCCGTCGGCGCCGCCGTCTACTACTTCCCGCACGGCCACGCCGATCACGCATGCGCCGCTGCCGTGGACCTGCGCGCCGCGGGCGTGCGTGTCTCGCCGTTCGTGCTGTGCCGCGTGGGCGCGCATGCCGGCTGATGCACCTGCATGCGTGTGCCACCGGGATCCGGAGGTGCCACATGGGCTAGGAATACGCCACTAATAAAGATTATGGACTCAAAAACCTGCTTTTAGAGTTGATAGACCTAAATGAACTAGAGTGTAAGTTGATGGGCCACCCATATATTTAACTCTTTTTGTTATTTTATTTTTTTCAACGCTACGATGACCTATAAAATGTACAATTGTTTACCCCAACCCAATACCAAGCTGATGTTCACGTGCAATCATGACTCTGTACAAAGTCAGCAGCTGCATGCGTGATCATCTCGATCGCCAATCAAACTGTAGAAGAGATCACGTGCACCAGTAGAGACCTTTTATCCGATGTTAAAATGGGCTTTAGTTCCGACATTTTTTGCGCCCGGGACTAGAGAGACCTTTAGTCCCGGTTGGTGTCTCCAACCGAGACTAAAGGTCCCTGCCCAACGGCTACTGCGCTCGGCACAGTGGCAGAGGACCTTTAGTTCCGGTTGGAGACACTAACCGGGACTAAAGGTGGACCTTTACTCCCGGTTGGAGCCACCAACCGGAACTAAAAGTCCTCAACCTTTAGTCCCGGTTGGTAACACCAACCGGGACTAAAAGTAGACCCTTTACTCCCGGTTGTTAACACCAACCCGGACTAAAGGACCCTTTAGTCCCTGTTGGTAACACCAACCGGGACTAAAGGTCCCCCGATGGGTTAGTCCAAAAGGAAAGCATCCCATCCATTGTTAGATATGCTGTGTAGGTGGGGTGGTAAGCTACGCGCGAGGCAATGCATGGGGTCTTGGGTTCGAATCTCACGGGACGCAGTGGTGGGGAGGCATTATTTTTTTTAAAGCTGGGAGAACCTTTAGTTCCGGTTGATGTTACCCACCGGGACTAAAAGACCCCCTTTAATCCCGGATGCTTACTCTGTCCCGGATGCTTACTCTCGGGTGGAGAACCGGGACTAGAGGGGTTCCCCACCGAGAGTAAAGCTCTGTTCTCTACCAGTGGTGCAAATAAATAAATGAACATAAACTTATGCACACGAACATTTCCCAGGAGCTCGCACCCGCGCGCGTGGGGAGGGACATCACAATATCACATCATCTCCCCTCGGCGTCGCGCTGCAGGAACCTGTGCACCTCGTCGGCCGGGACGTCGCGCCACACCCTGGGCCGCGCGGCGCCGTGGCCAAGCTTGGCGAAGCCGTGCGCCAGCGGGTTGCCCTGCCGCCGGACGTGCGAGACGCTCATGTCGTCGAGCAGCGGCAGCAGCGCCTGGATCTCCCCGCACAGGCGGAGGTCCTCTTGTGCTCTTACCCGCGCGCGGCTCCGCACGACGTCGACCACGGTCTTGGCGTCGCCCTCGACCCAGACGCTGCGCCAGCCGTTGGCCACCGCGACCTCCAACCCGCGCCGGAGCGCCGCGAGCTCCGCCACGGAGCTGGTCGCGGTGCCGATCCGCTCCGCGTAGCCCAGCACGAACCCGCCCTCGTGGTCGCGGTACACGCCGCTGATGCTCGCGCGCCGGGACGCGCCGTGCTTCGATGACCCGTCGAAGTTGAGCTTCAGACGCCCGGGCTCCGGCTTCCTCCACGTGCTCGCTGATGGCTCCAGCGACGACGACCCATTGTTATCCCCCTGGCGGCGCCCGCCCGACGCCGCCCTGCTGCCGACGAGGTAGGCCGAGAAAGGGTGGCACAGCAGCATGCTGCCGATGCCAAGAGGTCGGTGCACCCGCATCATCGTTCCGGCCCCGGCGGCAAAAATGTTGACGTGTATTTAGCGCCGCCCGTGCACGCACGTTTCTTGAAACGATCGCTCACCGGAGGACGATTGAGGCGACCAACTGCTTGGCGGACAATGGCGAGGCGTGCAGAACAGATCGAGGATGATGAGATGGTACGGAACCGAGAGCGCTGAAGAGGGTTGTTTGAAATAGCTCGGGACCTGGAGGCTGGAGGTGAGCATATGCCGTTGTCGAAATTCTGCGCTGTCCTGCTTGCTTGCTGGGGGAGGTACGTATATGTGTTTGCTTTGCATGGTTTCCCAGAATCGCCAACGCGGGAAGCAACCGTATTACTCCCGGGATTGAGAGGAGAGCGCTTGACAGGCAGATTACGCAGCGAGCATGCTTTGTTTCTATCTCAGGGGGAAGGGAGTTGCGTTTCTATTCTTGGGGCCTGGACGGAGCGCAGACAACTCGTTCCATATGGACATGGCCAATTGTCAGGCTCTGCGGAAGTCAAAGTAGCCGATCTGAATGAAAGATGCGTACGAAGAAGCCAGTTTGACAGGATCAGCAACTCCAGGGAGAAATGGGCCAGAGGATCACCTTTAGCCCATTTTAGTCCGTGGTCTGAACTCAGTTTTTGGGGTTGTATCAAAACTTTGGCCGGCCCAACCATCTTCATCGTTGCTGGCAGCAGCAAATAGTCGGCTAAAAAAAAAGCAGCAAATAGTCGGATCCGGCGGCGCTCTACACGCAGTTCCCCTGACCCCTCGGTTGGGCACCGCCTCTCACCTGCTTCTCTTTCCTCGACGCCGGATCTCGGGTGCTTGCGCCGCCGGCCACCGTCCATCGGCCTTTTCCCCCGCCACTAACTTCGGGCGACGGAGGGTTGGAAAGATGCCTAACCGAATACGTAAGAAAAAAGCTCGCAAAAGTAGAAAAAAGACAAGTGAGTTACTGATTCACCTTTGCCAGTTGTACCTCTTTTGCATGTATTTATGCAGTTATATTATAACAGTAATAATTTTGTTGTGCAATGCTCCTTGACTAGGAAAGCTGTGGTTGTACAATGATTTTGAAGAGGAGTTTGGTAGCTTAAGTCATTCTAGTCAAGGCACATTGAGTAGACTCAGTAAAGAAGTTGTTTCAAATTTATCTGCAACTGTTGTCTCACTGGCTTCATTCAATGGAGATCGGATTCATGCTGTATGCACAGGCATAGTTGTAAAAAACGAAGAATGTGGTACGAGTGTCCTAACTTCAGCAACTCTGGTTAGATCTTTGGATATTGCTAATGGGTGCAAGATTTTTCCGGGCTTAATGATTGAAGTGAGCCTTCCAAATAACCGAAGTGCTAGGGGTTGGTTGGTGCACTGTGACTTGAATTACAATGTTGCTGTTGTCAACATCAGCTATTACCCTGGTTTTCGAGCTGCACATTTCGATCACGACGGCATGCAGTTTGGGTCCGGTGATAGTAAGGTAGTAGCTTTAGGGCGTTGCTTCAAAACAGGCAAATTGAAGGCCTTGTATGGGATAGTGACTGATGATCCCTGTCGAGTTTTACGCAAACACCTTTATGATCTCCACGTGTAGAATCGATATGGTAATGAATGGAGGGCCCCTTGTTGATTTGGATGGCAACTTTGTTGGCATGAACTTTTATTCTAAGAGGAGATGACTCCATTCCTACCAATGGACAAAATTTACATCTGCTTGGTACATGCTGGGATACTCTGGGTTGAAATCAATCATGGAGGTGATAGCACAATTGAAAGAAGCCGTGAGATACGGGAATGTCTTATGCTCAATGTAGAAGGTTTCTCATGTGGTGAGAGGGACAAGAATCAGGAGCTTTCCATATCTTCTACAAGTTATTCAGAAGATTTTGAGGAAGAGGAACTCTGGCGCTTCCTTGATGATCGCTTCCATGGACGACGGAAATGGCCGCAAGAAAACAATCGCCTTGACATCAACTGCGTTAGTTCTGGCCGTGTCTGGCATACAAATTTATCGCAACAATTTCTTACTCTTTCCACAGTGCAAATCACCTTTCAGTTTTTAGTCAATAGCTGCTGCTCCATGGAGATGCAGCTGGCGATGGAGGAATCGAGGGACCACCCTTTCTTGCCGGTGCAGTGGGAGAGCACGGGCGACACCGATCGACTGGGCGGCGGCCAGCGGCCACTACGACCACGTCCGGGAGCTCCTCCGCCTCGACCCCAACCTCCTCGTCAAGCTCACCTCCCTCCGCCTCATCCGCTGCCTCGAGTCCGGCTGGGACGACGACGCACGCCTAACCGTGCTGCCATCGCCGCCGCCACCTGCTCGACCGAGCCATATAAGCCCCTTCCCCGCCTCCAGATCGACTGCGACGCCAACCGCGTGCCTCCGCTGGGCCAGCTACGGCGGGTGGCTCCTCTACACGTCGGCCGCGACCGGCAACGAAAGGTTCGTGAGGGAGCTCAGCGTCGCCCAGGCGGTCGCGGGAAATCCTCCCTGTGGCGCGCGAAGGAGGAAGACGGGCGACGCACCAAGTGCCAAAAGACCGGGAAAAAGGATCGGGAATTATTGGAGATGATTTTTTTTAATCTTGCCAAAATTCCTAGATTAGAAGGCTGTTTTGGGAAATCTTGGAGATGCTCTTAGCTTTACCGTTTCAAAAATGAAAAGTTACAGAGTTGTCTTGATTTGCTGGTTTTAAGTCCAGATAATGTTTGTTAATTTGGAATTGGGTTGAAAGTCTCCACTGTTAACCATTAATAACTGTGTGAGGTATAGATAGTAGATTGCATAACTCTCATGATCAGTGGCGGAGGCAGGAACAATTTTGAGGTGTGGTGGAAACATGTATATAGATTAAATAACACGAAAAGATAGACTAGCTGGGCCATCGTTGCACAATCAGGAGCAGCGTCGCAGCCGCCGTCTATGATCGCGCTACGGTCGCTGTATAGCGCTAGGGTTCTATCGTTCTGGAGTTGTGATCGGATCCTAGAATACGAATAGACGGAGGCTTGAAGCAGTCGATCGATCAGGGCCATCTGATAGATAGAGAGGAAAAAAAACAAGATATATTCTGCTGCTCACAGTCGTCGGACAGATTAGCCTCCCTGGGTCCCTCCGTTCGGTTTGCTAACTACAGCCCATCAAGATGAAACCCACTAGTCCAGCCACCGGACCCAACAGATGACCAGCATGCATCGACGTATACGTACGTATGCCATGTTTATTCAGTATTTTGTACGTATTTTTTAGGTATGGCGGCTGCCAAGCCTTGCCAGATGCCTGGCTAGTCGTGATGGAACAACAATGTCAGAATCCTGTTGTATACTCCTGTTGTTTGAGAATCTTTCCACAAACAAATAAAAATACCAAACCATCCAGCAATAGCGGAATCCTGAATAATGGAATAGTGTCCCGTCAAAGTCTCCACTGTTTACCATTAATGGTATAGACTAACCGGCCAATCGGCCATCCAATCAACCGTCCGGCGTGACCCGTGAACCATTCCTTAGTTCATCACACTATATATCACAGTGCTCCCCGCCATCATTATTCATTAGCCTCGCCAATGGCTTCTTCAGCCGGGCAACTGCTTCTAATGTCAGTGGCCATCCTCGGCAGCGCAGGGTGCTTCGCATCGGACACCATCACCCCAACTCCGCCGTCTCCGGCAGCAGGACCGTCGTGTCGACGGGCGGCAACTTTGAGCTCGGCTTCTTCCGTCCAGCAGGTGACAGCAACACAGCTTCCTCCTCTGATGGCAGCAACCACTACTACGTAGGAATCTGGTACAAGAAAGCCGTATCGCCGTGCACGCCCGTGCGGGTCGCGAACAGAGCCGCGCCGGTCTCCGACCCGCGTCCTCTCAGCTCGCCGTTGCGGCGGACGGCAATCTCGTGCTCACGAACGAGGTCGGCGAGCTCGTCTGGTCCTCGAACGTCGTCATCTCCAGCAGCAGCTCCAACGGCACCGTGGCTCTCCTCTTGGACAGCGGAAACCTCGTCCTCCGGCGCGACGACGGCGAGGTCCTGTGGCAGAGCGCTGAGCACCCCACCGACACGTGGCTCCCGGGAGTCCGTCTCGGCATGAACAAGATCACCGGCCACGTGCAGGCTCTGACTTGCTGGAGGAGCTCCAGTGACCCGGCTCCCGGCGTGTACTCGCTGGGGATCGACCCGAACGGGACCAGTCAGTTCTTCACGTACTGGAACACAACCGTGAGTTTCTGGAGCAGCGGAGAGTGGAACGGCAACATCTTTGCCGGTGTCCCGGAGATGACGTCGCACTACTTTTACAACTTCGAGTTCGTGTCCAACGCCAACGCCAGCTACTTCGACTACTCTCTGCAAGACCCCACGGTCATCTCCAGGTTCGTCTTGGACGTCTCCGGCCAGGTGAGACAGCTCATCTGGGTGCCGTCGGCCGACGAGTGGATGATCATCTGGGCGGAGCCACACCAGCTCTGCGACGTCTACGCTGTCTGCGGCGCGTTTGGCGTCTGCGACGAGAAGAGTGAGCCATTCTGTAGCTGCCCCACTGGCTTCCGCCCCTCCTCCATGGAGGACTGGGAGCTAGGAGATCACTCACACGGCTGCCGCCGAAACCATCCCTTGCAGTGTGACAGTGGCAAGGACGGTGACGCCTTCTTGCTGGTGCCAGGTATTTCTCTGCCGGGAAACCCGTCGCCGCCGGTTGAAGCATCAAGCGCTCAAGACTGCAGGTTGGCGTGCTTGAGGAGTTGCGACTGCAACGCTTACTCCTACGGCAGACGATGTGCTCTGTGGTACGGTGACCTGCTCAACTTGCAGCGACGGGTCGACGACACTGCAGGAATGGATGATCTTCACCTCCGGTTGTCTGCCATGGACGTGTCCTCAAAAGATCGTAACAGAACGGCAATCTTCGTTTCTACTGCCTCAGTTGCGTCGATCCTAGTCTTGTGTGCCATTGTGTCCGTGTTTGTTAAGATGTTTAGGAGAAGACAGAGCAGCATAAGATTCATGCAAGCAGCAGCAGAAGGTGGTAGCCTCGTGGCGTTCAAGTACAGCGAGCTGAGGAGGGCGACCAAGAACTTCTCGGAGAAGCTCGGAGGCGGCGGCTTCGGGTCGGTGTACAGGGGAAATCTACCCGGCGGCGGGCCGGCCGTCGCGGTGAAGAGGCTGGAGGGCCTCCTCTGCGTGGGGGAGAAGCAGTTCAGGAACGAGGTGCGCACCATCGGCAGGATCCAGCACGTCAACCTCGTCCGCCTCCGTGGTTTCTCCTCCCACGGCAGCGAGCGGCTACTCGTCTACGACTACATGCCCAACGGTTCGCTGGACAGGGCGCTTTTTTGGGGAGCTGCGGCGCCACCGACGCTGAGCTGGAGCGCCAGGTTCCAGATCGCGCTCGGCGCCGCCCGGGGCTTGCTGTACCTCCACGAGGGTTGCCGGGACTGCATCATCCACTGCGACATGAAGCCGGAGAACATCCTGCTCGACGAGGTCCTCGTCCCCAAGGTCGCCGACTTCGGCATGGCGAAACTGCTGGGGAGGGACTTCAGCCGCGTCCTGACGACGGTACGGGGCACCATCGGGTACCTCGCGCCGGAGTGGATCTCCGGCGTGCCCATCACCGCCAAGGCCGACGTGTACAGCTACGGGATGGTGCTGCTGGAGATCATATCGGGAAGGCGGAACGCGCGGTGCTGGGTGACAACGGAGCACGGCGCGTCGCTGTCAGAGTACTTCCCGCTGGTGGCCGCGAGGAATGTCAGCGAAGGGGCGGCGCTTGTCGCGCTGCTGGACGAGCGGCTGCAGGGAGACGCCGACCCGCGGGAGCTGGAACGCGCGTGCAGGGTGGCCTGCTGGTGTGTGCAGGACGACGAGGCGCACCGGCCGACGATGGAACAGGTGGTCCAGGCGCTGGAAGGTGTCGTGGCCGTGAACGTGCCGCCGATTCCGACGTCGCTCCAAGCCTTCGCAGATTGATAGGAGACTAGTACAAACTGCGCGCCATCGCGCGCGCCGACGAGTAAGGACACCTAAATATACATTGAAGTTTTGTATGTCACATACGGTGCGCGTCATTGAGCGCGTGGGCGAGCAAAGTGTGGGCAGTACAGCTTGAGATTATGTAAGAACGATACGTAGATATATTCATAGATATACGTTTTTTGGTACATATACAGTACAATTGCTGTTTGAAGGATACTACAGGACGACGTAGGCAGTTGCATGACCAAGAACAAAATTAGGTAGTGTTTAACTATACTGGACGTAATTAGACAATACATAAACACCAAACCTACTAAATTAAAACAGTCTTCTTGTTTGTTGTCATTGCGTGGTCTGGGCAGCGTTCAGAGCACAGCAACTGTAAACCTTTCCATCTTGCAAAATCATGAGCCGGCTATCCTATTCTGCATCCGTAAGATCTGAGTAAGAAGTCAGGTGCTTGACGATTCCAAAATGTAGGTATAAAAGCTATTTGTAGATCATGAAGTAAGGCATGGCAAGCAGCGTGAGCTGTTTTGCTGAGTAGTGTCTGATCAAGGTCAAATTCCGGTGGAGGTATCCACAGATGGAACGAAAAGAAGACTGTCAGTGTTTAATTATTTGTTGCAGATGACCTAAATGTAGAAGTGCTAACAGACAGATACACACAAATAGAGGAGACTAAATCGACGTACCGAGACATGAACAGGCCTGATGGTATCGGTGGTAGGCTGGTGCACCTGCTGAGCTGGTAGTAAGTAACTTAATGGTGTGAGAGAGACGTGAAAAGGCAGCGCGCTGACTGAAATAGGGAATTAAGAAAGCGAAACCAAACTGTTTGAAGCAAAATAGCAGATCTTATTATCCAAAGGAAAAAGCTGACAGAGATGAAGAAATACAAACACGACAGCTCCCTGCACTTGGGTTAATCTAATAGGAACAATGCAGGAAGCACATATGGGAAAATATAAAGCCATGTAGGTGTGTAAGCCAAAAAGAATGGATCATGTGGAAGCTTTTTTGAAGAAGAGATAATTAAGCATATGGCAGGCCACATTGGCTCACGACAGGTTGCAGCAATTTAATGCAGGATGTTGGAACAAAGATCATGATATTAGAAACCAAAAGCAGCACATTAAAATGTGAAAAAAAAGCAAGAACGAGAAAACAGGCAAGTGTGATGCTAACTCAATCGCAATAGAGGCAGAGGTGTGTACTGGTAGATTAAGCCATAGGATAAACAAATAACTTGGATGTTGAAAAATAAAAAAAAATACCCATGAAGGAAAACAGGAAAAGAACTAAAATTAGATGGAAATGAAAAGGGAATGAGAGAGGGGGTGGATCAGCCTGTCTGACATATTTTGGTAAAGGCAATAACTGTAATAAGTACATAGGTAAACACACGCTGTTATCGTGTACCTTGGACCAACCATAGTGTCGGTGTTTCGAACAAACACCAGCTAGTAAATTTATACTTGATGCGCGTTAGGCCCGGATGGTGCACTAATGGACACAAGGTTTATACTAGTTCGGGCTGAATGTCCCTACGTCCAATCTGTTGCTGCTCGTGTTATTAGCACTGAATGGGGTTCGTAGTAGGGGGTACAAACGGTTGGGAGAGGAGAGATCCCAAGTCCCCTCGATGGAGTAGTGGAAAGAACGCCAAGAGCTCTGTTGCTGCTAGGTTGTATGGTGCGTGTGTGTGTGCTAGCTCGTCCGGCGCTGATCACCTTAGTGGGGAGCCCCGCCCTCCTTTTTTATAGACAAGGGGAGGGGGGCGAGCGCTACATATGGGGAAAAGAAAAAATACTAAGAGCGCAGAAGGTCCTTTGAGAGACCCGAGTCTTCCTTCTTCCCCACGCCTGCCCTGCCTATCATGGCGGCATCGTGTCGGAAATGGCGTGTCTGTCGATCTTCGTAGGCCATGCCCTAGCCTTTTTTAGCAAGTGGGGCGTCCCATCCCGCCCCCGCGGGCGGCGGGTCGGATAGGACCGTCGAGCCCCGACCCCGTGGGGGTCGGACGGCGTGGTGACTGTTGGTTGGCCCTTGGGACGTCGTGGTTGTCGTATGTCCGTGTCGGGTCCTTCGTCCGGAGGCTAAGGGCGGCGCCTATGATATATCAGAGGGCGGAGAGCAGCGCGCAAGCAACACCGTTTCGAGCTCGCCACGCTGGGGGAGGTCCCAGCGCTTGTCCTATCATATCCTGATGGTACTTCCTTGCAGGGGTGCAGGGCATGGCGTCTGATGCTGTGGTTGACCCGAACGTCTTGTCTTACCCTGTAGCCATCATCATGAGGGTTCGCAGGGCACGGTTTGTCAGGTGAGACAGAGCCAGCCTCCGAATATCGGGTGAGGCGAGATCCGTCATCGGTCGTTGGATAAGGTAAAGCCGGCCCTCGGGCGTTGGGCGAGGCCGAGCCCAGCCCTCGGGGGTCGGGCGAGGCGGAGTGTATCCCTTGGGGGTCGGGTGAGTCGTCCTCTAGCCGTCGGGCGAGGCGGAGTCGTCCTCCAGCCGTCGAGCAAGGTGGAGCGGGTCCACGGGCGTTTGGGCGAGGCGGAACAAAACTCCCGTCGTTCGAGCAAGAAGTGCAGCCGTGCTCTTGGTCCGTTCGGGATCTTTTAACGTTCGATGGTTATTAGTTCCACCTCCTTAGGTACCCCGGTATTAGGTCCCCGACAGTAGTCCCCGAGCCCTCGGGCGATTCGGGTAGAATCGCCCAGGTTTTTTTTTTGATCTCGTCGGAGTTAACTTTCCAGAGGGTGCGCGCGAGCGCACCCGGTGGGTGTAGTCCCCGAGCCCTTGGGTGATTCGAGTAGAATCGCCCGGGGGTTTTTTCTTTTCGATCTCGTCGGAGTTAACTTTCCAGAGGGTGCGCGCGAGCGCACTCGGTGGGTATAGTCCCCGAGCCCTCGGGTGATTAGTATTGGGCCCTCCGCGGGTAAGACCGTAAGATTTAGGTTTCTTGTCAGCTGGATATTTTTCCGTGGGGGTCGTGGTATCCCGGTCGCGGGGATCTCATTCAGGGCTGACCTGACTGGGGCTTGACTGCGGATCCAGACCCCAGTAATGCTTGCGCCCTTGATTTCGGATCGTTCGCGGACCCGTCCTCAGTTGGGTCGGCTGCCGAGCTTCTAGGCCCTAGGTGGGACAAAGAGAAAAAAATCTTTGTGACCTGCGTCCCCTAGGTGGGAAGAGAGTCCAGATTCGCCTGGGGCTCGACCATGCTGGAGGCTCTGGACCAAGCCAGAGGAGCCCTGCGCGAGATCGTTGTTCCTACTACCCAGGTATTCGCTCGGTTTTCTTCTTTCTTCGCATGTTTTTGTGTTTTCGTATTTCTGATACCGGTCTTCTTCTTCTTCAGATTCTCGTTGCTCGTAGTCGGAATAAATCCCGATTCCTCCGCGAGCAGAAGGCGGAGTGGGATCGCCTTTCCGAGGAGGCCCGGCTACGAGCAAATATGGCCGCGCAGCTTGCTGCCGCCCAGGAGCGGGAGGCCGAGGCGCGCCAGGACGCGGAGGAGATCCATGGGATGTTCGCGGACCTGTCGGCGAAGGTGAAGCTGGAAGAGGAAGAGGCTGCCAGGATTCTGAAGGAGCGGGATGAGCTGCTCGAGAAGGATGCCTAGGCCAGTAAGCGGGCTGTTGAGGTCCTGAAGGAGCTAGAGACGGAGCGGGATCTCAGGCGGAAGGCCGAGAGTAGGGCCACGACCCTTCAGCAGAAGGCGGACGAGGACGTCGAGGTGGTCCGCTCCCTCCGGGCGGATCTTAGTGATGCGGTGAGCCAAAGGTTGAGCGCCAAGAACGTCTCTGTCAAGCTGGAAAAGGAGCTCGCCCATGTGCGAAGGACCCTTCAGATTGAGAGCGACGAGCACGACTTTCTGCAAGCTGCGGTCGGGGTGGTCCTTGATGCCCTGAAGGTGGTGGAGCTGGTGGAGACCAGCCTGCTTGCGGCTCGTGCCGCAGGTATCACGGCGCGGGTGGGCCAACTTGAGGAAGACGCCTTTCGCGCCGGGATCACCCAAGCCTTTGCTATCGCCCATTCTCATTATGATCGGGAGATCAACTTGAAGGTGATGAGCCAAGGCTTCGCGCCTGTGTATGAAGACCCTGAGCTGGACGAGATGAAGAAGGCGGTGGCACCTCTTGCGCGGGACCTGGCGGATAGATTGAAAGAAGCGGTTCTCCCTTCGCGGAAGTAGTTTAGATGGAGAAACTTGATGAACCCTTTTATGTAATACGTGAACAAGTGTCGGTGCTTTTGCGTGCTGAAAACAGTTTCGTGGATTTGTCTGGTGGTTTTTCGTTTCGTTTGTTTCTTCCATTTTTGCGATGAAAAGAAGTTTGCAAGGTCCGACCCTTCCCCTTGTTAAGACCGTATGGCCTGAGGTGCTTTTTAGAGGAACAAACATACCGTCGTTACCTGGCCGTGGGCTTTACGTGGTACTTGTCGATCTGTGGCAGGGGAATTGGGCGACGTGGACCCTTATTTTCGATGGCCAAACTGCCACTATCTCTGCACACAATCAAGAACCCATTTGTAAGATACATGGCAGCTTGGCCATAGAAAATAAGAGACAGGAGAAAAAGGCATCTGAACTACGAACAGCTGCTGCTTTGGGCGCCATATATTATTTTGCTAAGTATCTATTAACTGCAGAGATATGGCAAGAAAGTTAGGCTATCTTCCACATTCAGAAGCTCGAAATTATTTGATTCTTCTAATATCTGCTTCATCTTGCTATGTCGAGGCACCAAACATACATAAAACAGGGTATGGGCCCGATATTGTAGATCCTAAGACAGGTATGATTTCTATTTTCTTTTACCTATCTGTCTTACTTGCTGCAGGTAGCTGCATTTTTCTTAGCAGGCTGGCAACAAAACTACCTGCAGCATGTTACGAACTACAAAAGAGGTGGTCATTAATATGTCTACATCAACAAATGAAATTTCCCTCACAGTCCATGATAACTCCAAAATATTTTTGTTTA